TGCTGTCAGTGTAGCTCGCTATTGACCAAGTTCGTTTCATCTGTTGTATACATCTCAAACATACGTGTTGTGTTTCTCTTTGAGTAAATTTTTTTTGTAGTCATTTTCAATACAAATTTTTGCTTCTCTTAATATTGTTCTCTCTGCTCACTCTTCTCTCCTCTTCTCTCCTCTCCTCTTCTCCTCTTCTCCTCTTCTCCTCTTCTCCCCGCCTATTGTTCTTCCTTCTTTGATGCGTTGTTGTCTTCTCTCTTCTCTCTTCTCTCCTCTCTCCTCTCTTCTCTCCTCTCTCTGAGTTTCCCTACTGCTCCTCTTCTCTCCTCTTCTCTCCTCTTCTTTCCTTTTCTCTCCTCTTCTCTACTGTTCTTCTCTCTTTGATGCACTTCTCTCTTCTCTCTTCTCTCTTCTCTCTTCTCTCTTCTCTCTTCTGTGTGTATTTCCCTACTGATCCTCTCTCTTCTATTTTTCTTTCCTCTCGCACTATATTCTCTTTTCTTGCTTTCAAGTTCCCTCTCGTCTATTTTTCACTTTGCTACCACTGATCTCTACTCTCGAGTACAGGATGGGTACAGACCCATCCACCCCCCACCCTGGGCGCCCCCCCTTCTTCTCTCTTTCCATTAACCTCATCCCTCCCTGTCCTTTTTTTTTTTTTTTTTTTTTTTTTTTTTTTTTTTTTTTTTGAAAAAGGGCGGCAGCCTTGAGATATCTAGCTACATCCATCTGGATTCGAACTCATATCTGCTTTTCAACAATTCATGATGGGTCGCGTTGGTTGAAAATGGAGGGCACCTCTGGATTTCCACGTGGCTCTTCATTCATTTCAGCAGTTAACGGAAATGTCAACGGAAATCGTCGTCGTTTCAGCAGTTAACGGAAAGCTTCAAGGAAGTTTCTCTGCATGTACCGTTATTGTGGGGGGGGGGAAAGGGGGGGGTTGCTACCGAATCTAGAATTAAAAGTCTTCTTGAGTTCTTTCGACTTTTCCGTTAAGTTCTCCGAATTTGGGTGTACTGATCGGGACGCTTCTTCTCACTGCTGAGCTGTCGGTATCGGGATCATTCACTCAGGAGGAATGATTGGGCTTATGTCATTCGTGCATGATCGATTGATTGCTCCACAGCTCGGCCTTTTTTCCGCCCTTTTTTTTGTTTTTTTGTTTTTTATTTCTTATTTTTTATTTTCCCTTCTTTTTTTTTTTTTTTGGTTAGAGTCCGTGTTGGTTACAACAGCTGGCGAGCAATATGTCAGCTCATTGATTGATTGATTGATTGATTGATTGATTGATTGATTGATTGAAGGATTGATTGATTGATCGGTTGACGTATTGATTGAACCATAGATTGATTTATTCAGAGATTGGGGTTGCTTTATGGATCCATATCGTCGTTGATTGCTCAATCAATCAATCAGCCGAGACTGCGTGCGGGTCTTCAAGTTTCCACACACACACACACACTGTCACACACACACACACACACACACACACACACACACACACACACACACACACACACACACACA